TTTTGAATGATATTTATTTTTATGCATGTGAAAGGTTACAGGGATAGAATAGATTATGGTACGGCATGGTGGCAAGTTCGTTGTTGTTTCCAACCTGCTTAGTTTGCTTTAGCTACATTGGCCTAGTCTAGTTCGGTAGCATGGCATTTTAACTGAACACTCAGCATAGCAACTCTAAACTCCAACTTTAATAGTTTGTACTATAAGGCTTGGCCAACCTAGTAACCGTTGCTGGGAAGGAACACATTAGCAGGCAGAGCATGGATAGGGCAGTCATAATCTTTGGACATTTTATGAAATTTGATTACAGTTTTACCGAACAGTTTTTATTTTTGAAGGTGTTTTATAATTAATTGAAGCAGATCAATTGATTATTAACAGATTAGTCAAAAGATTATCAGAAGTAGCTGCAGCCCTGCAGTAATTATCAAATTCAGGAAACTGAAAGTTTTCTTTGAGCATTAATTAAACTCTGTGAGCATGACAGTAAAGGTATGTGGGTAAAGGGTTCAGTTGCTCTGTGGCCCTTTCCACTTTTCGTCTTAAAACTTTAAGAACTGACCTTTTCTATGTCTGCCTGCTGTCTTTTTTACTTTCTCTTGTTCCCTTCTTCCTCCATGTGTTACTAACTGCATTTTTTTGTTTCTGTTCTTCTGCTAGTTAATCACTCCCTTCCTCGTTAATAGCTGCTCCTCTCACCTCCCCCCTCTCAGTTGCTCAATCCTCTCTTCTCCTTCCTCCTCTTCTTCTCAGACTTGTTCTGTAATTTCTTGAAGGTTCTACCAGGCCATGATCTATCCTTTCAATCAGGCGCTAATTAAAGAAAAAAGGAACGGACTGTCCCTCGCTTCCCTGCTTGCTGGCTGAGGGAGGCGCAGGTTGAGTGACAAAGGCGAGAGAGGAGAGCATAGAACGAAGGAGGCGGAAAGAAAGGAAAGATGAAGAGGTGATGAGGTGGCTTCAGTTTTTTGCCAATGAGAGACGGAGAGGAAGTGAAGTGTATTAGTTTGTTTTGCATGTTATTAAAAGTTCATGCCTGAAGCACTTCATGACGGGCCTGATAATTAGCTCATGAGTTGAATTGGTTGTTTTATTTTAGATCAGTAAAATCCCCAATCTGAGAATTACTGTGGTTCTTTAGGGCTTTTCTAGACTGTAGGATGGCTGCATTGTCTTGCACATTTATCAGTTTGTCATAATGTTAGACATTTATTTCTATAGGAGCTGTTCGTTTTGATCAAAACATTCTTATTTTCTTTTGAAAAATGCTGTGTTTTGGCACATATTGTGCACCAGTTGGGCTGAGTTAGAAAATGCTATTGTTTTGTAATATTTTATTTATTCATTTTTGAGACTTGGCTGTTTTGTTCTATAGTGTAGAACACCTGTCACATACAAGGGTTGTACATGCTTATAGAAACAATGTAGTACTTACACTCGTCCTTTTTATTAGAAACACTTACTGTATACAGTGATATGCAAACATTTGGGTGCCCCGGTTCAAATGTCTTGTTTATTTTCATTTTCTAAGTGAAAATAATTTATTACATAAATAACATACTGAGAATAAAGTAAATAATGACATGTAGCTTATGCAAATATCATGGCTCATTTTGTATTTTATCAATTATTTTTTTCGAAAATGTTTAAAGTCGAGTGTCCTTTCTTAACTCTTGTTAAGTCCTGTATGATTCTAGTTATTAGTTTGTAGCTGCTGTGCTTAAACATTAGCATTTAGAATTCGTGTTTATAATGTTGCTTTGTGTTTGTGTTGCTGGTAAAAACTAAATGGATGAGTAAACTGTGCTGTGCTATGTGATCTTTGACGCATGGGACTTTTGTTGTTTGTTGATAGCTTCACACACGTGTATGTGGCCAGTTACTCACTGCACTGTGAATAAAAGTGCAGAAAGTTCTCTCTCTGCCTTTCTGTGCTCTGACCAGCTCCACAGCTTTTTTTCAAACTTACCTCACCTTTGTTATGTGTTCATATAAAAAAGTAATTCTGCCCAACCTTATTTATTTATTCTTTTTTACGGTAGTTTGCAGAACAAATTGTAAGTTAAACATTGACCTAAAGTATCTGTTGAACACGTGTTTTGTATCTTAAGCCCGGTTGGAGCTGGATTATTTTGCCTAGGGAGTTTGTCATTTGTAATTTGAGTGATTACAGAGGAGATCTGTGATATAGTCCAGTATGAATCTGCAATGTGTGTAGTTTTTACGAATCTACTAAGTAATAACTCTAGAATTCGCCGAACTTGGAGCTCCCTCAGCAATAGTAATCATTTTCGAACTGACATCACAGTAATGTAATAACAAAACCAGGTCACAGAAAATGGCGCCTCCATTTTTTTCTTTGTAGCTTGAAGACAAAACTACTCAGTTCCTTAATCCACAAGTTCATGACCAGACCACTGAAATTAATAATATTTGATGGAAAGTCTACTCTCTTGTACCATATTTGCCATTTAGCTGCATATTTTGTTGTTGTTTGGAAACATGGTGCCTGTCACAAAATGCTGCCGTAAATGTTCTGGCTGAAAATTACACAGATCCCTTATCCTGTACTAATTGGCCAGTCAAATCTCACACAGATTACATTACCGGGCCTCCTTTGGTAAAACTAACCCAGCTCGAATAGGGCTATATTGTGATATGTTTTGTAAAGTTGCTGACAATACCCAGCCCTAACAATTAGGAAACCTAGCAATTTCATACATTTTAAAAGTGAAAAAAGATTGTTCACTTCAACTGATGTATCTATTCTCACTGAAAACAGTTGCTGCTGTGGTGTAATTCTCCTGGGACGGTGAGGAGGAGAAGGCTGCGTCTTTGGGGACAGTGTTGTTTCTCATGCATTTAGAAACAGCAGTCTTAGTGTTGATGTATGTTTCATTAGATTTTATGTATTGTCAGATGTGCATGTGGACCTTCTTATCATGTGTTTCTGTGCAATCAGACGTCACATTAAAATGACAAGTTTGTTGGTGTAGGATTTTTGTGCTGAGGTAGGTTACTGAAGAAAAAAAAAAACATATCTAGCCAGAAACTGATGACAGGTAAACACCATTTATTATGTAAAATTTGCTACAACATCCTGAACATGGGCTGAATTTTGATGTGTCAGTGCTCAGCTGTAAGTCTGGGCTTTTTGGGAAATGAGTTTTGGTACCCAGGCCTGAACACTTGGTGAAAATGTCTGTGCTGTGTTGGACTAGAGTTCACCAGAATGTTATTGATAGATTGGACATCACTCTTGTTCTGTTGGCTCAATAATGTGCTTTCTGGCTAGGAATGCTTGGTTTTCTTGCTGCAGCCATAACTTCCAATTGGAATGAATTAGTTGCAGCCTTAATTGACTAATTCAGGCCAGAATTGCCTTTTCAGTATGATTAATTGATTAAGTAGTGAAGTGTCTGCCCGTTTCCTGATTGCAAATTCTAAACGTTGTTTTCAGATATTCAGCCGCACTCAGTTTAAACTAGTGTAATATCGGATAAATGGAAATGGATATTAGATTTAGCATTTACTGAAAAACAGCTACATAAAAAGATATCTTGCTTGAATTTTGTAGAAACTTTAAATATTTGTGTATAAGTTACAGATGCCACAACAGGTGTTAAACCCAGTCTGAAAAAAAAGAGTGCTAATCGCTGTTAGCGTGTTCAGTGGTACATAAAGATTCTCATTGAAAGTCTAGCAGAAAGTAGCCTTATTGTAGTGGAGCTAATCTCTTGAAAAAGCTAATAAAGTGAAGGCTTTTTCATTAAACGCTGCACATCAAGCAACTTACATGAAGTGAACTTATCATTTAAACTGCAAAAAAACTGCACCTTGAGGCTTCTTTCCTGTTATGTGTAGATATGAACATGGTTATATAAACAAAAAATACAACTGGATACATTACTAAAAAAAGCCTAAAAGTTTGTCTACAACTGATCACTTTGCTGGTGACATGGGGCAACCAATCAGAGCAGAGGTCATTTACATACCAGTCTAAAAAGCAAAGTGAGGATCAAGATAGGTTGGAAAACGGTCATGAATTATTACTGTTTTTGTTACATAAAACCACGTTATGAATAAATCTCAGTGAAGAACATAAAATACAAGAAAAATGTAGGATATGGGCCCTTTAAAACAAGCAGCGTGCTTCCACTGGATGTCGGTGATGAGAATTAGAAACTGCATTCAATCGTTGGAAATAATTATCAGTTTTATATAATGAAAATAATATTAATGAATTATCGAAAGTAATAAACACGCCGATTAAGTTAATTTTGTGCACTCATATATCTTATAAAATATGTGTTTTAAATGGAAATTCAGAATTGAACAAGATGTGATTAATTGGCATTATCCAGAATAATGTGATTAATCATAATTATTTTAAATTTAATGCTCATGTGTTTTTTTATTTGACTAAGTAATGTGCATTTCATTATGCAAACTTAATGTTGTATTTTTCAGAGTGTTCAACGTCAGACTCAACAAACGTCTGTTGACCATTATTTAAGAGTTAGAGTTGAAGGTTTTACTGAGTAATGCTCAGCTCATTTAGAGAAGAGAAGCTGCTTTCTGATCTTGGTTAAGAGAATCAATATGTTCAGATTATTGGATCACTAATCCTGACGCACAGTATCTGTGGAACTCCTGTATGTACTAATGGGTGTTCTAGAAGGAAGCCGTGAGCACCAGTATTCATTTTAAATATCCTGCATCCAGGGTTACAAGCTTCATGACAGGCGTGTCTGTGTGCTCGAGCTCTTCAGTGAAATTCAGTGGAGTGGTTGTGCACGATATATTAGTGGCTAATATATTTTTCACAGATTAATAGGAGCATTTAAATTGTTGTTTTTGGTTTGATACGGGAATTACAGCCGATAACTTTGCACAGTGTATATGTTCACTGTATATGCAGATGCTGACATCTCTCTCTCTCTCTCTCTCTCTCTCTCTCTCTCTCTCTCTCTCTCTCTCTCTCTCTCTCTCTCTCACAGGTTCTGCTGTTGTTGTGACGTTCTTCGTGTTCTCCCTCCGTGTTCTCTCCGAGTTTTCTGGATGACTTTGAACCTCAGCGCATGCGCAGATCCTAGCGGCGGCTGTGCTATCTCTGCGTAAAGTTTTTGCGAGAGTGTGAGAAGTGCTACTCTGAGAGAGAGTGTGTGTGTGTGGGGGGGCGTCGTCTGCTGGCAGTTGTAGTGCCCTCTTCTCTCCACACGCTCAAAGCTGGCGATGTCCAGGGTCCCGAGTCCGCCCCCTCCCGCTGAGATGACCAGCGGCCCAGTGGCCGAAAGCTGGTGTTACACACAGGTGAGTATTTGTTAGTATGTAAAAAAGTATGTTTTTAATTTGATCTCTTTGTGCATGCTGTCCTCTACATGTCTCTGTGTAATAGCGATGGCCATTTTACCAGTAATTGAATCGTGACAAGCTATTTGATTAGTATTTTCAGAGAGTCAGCACAGCTAACAAAAGACTGCAGTTTCAAATCAGATTTTTATTCCACAGAATAAAATGATTCTGTTAAATGCCATATAAAAAATAACCATAACTAGGTCTGGCACAATTATTGCATAATCGCCTGATATCAGTTATTTAATCTGCACTAATAAACACGCTTCTGCTTTCTTTCATTGTATTTTTCTCAACCCAGTGGACGAAAATGCACCCAATTCACATTCTGTTTGCTACAACATAAATATAGCAATGTGTACTGGACGTGTTTTCATCCATTGGGTTGAGGCAAATACAATGAAAGAAAGCAGAAGCAGGTTTATTAGAAGACATCATGGTATAATGACAACAACAGTTTAAATAGCCTACTTGACTGCCTTTAGAGTGCCGCAGGGCGTAAAGTTTGTTTATTTGATGTTTGTAAATAAAACTTTGAGGCAACTTTGAGTTGTGTTTGTTTATTTGAGTTGGGCTGTGGCTGTTGTCAGTTGGGAGCTACTAAGTATCATTAGCTAGAAAGTAAAAGAGCTAATCAGCTAATTTAACCACCTTAGGCTTGTATTTTTATAGTGGCTTACATCAAACAAAAAAGACAAATTATTAATAGCAGTTATTTATATGGCATTCAATCATCAGCTAAAAGGTCATGATTATTACAGGTCTAGTATGTTTTGAGCCCATTCCTGCTGTGTAATAAAGAGAGTGCTCTTGCCAGGGTGATTTCATCAGAGAAAGACGATGAAAGAGATTTTTCTGTGAACAAAGGATATGTGTATCTGCATACACATGGTGTTTATGTGCAGCAGTGAGCTCTTTAAGGGACTGAGGCACATTACATACCAGCCTCATGTGAGCAGGAGCCTATAGGCTTGTCCCCTCTCTGCCCTTCTCTCTCTGTCCTTTCTAAACTAGTGTTTGTTCATTACCTTTTTTTTTTTCCTTTTTCCTCAAACCCATTTGTTTCCACGGTGTATCAAGATGAAAGTCAGTTTTGATGTGGCCGATTTTTGAAGCCTTAGCCGCCATTTACCAATATATCAAAAGAAAAGGACAGGAAAGGGACACAGATGCATAAGTGTGTGTGTGTGTTTCTTTTCTTTTTTTTTTTGCATGTGTATCAGATCAAAGTGGTGAAGTTTTCCTACATGTGGACCATCAACAACTTCAGCTTCTGTCGGGAGGAAATGGGCGAGGTCATTAAAAGCTCCACCTTCTCCTCGGGAGCCAATGACAAGCTCAAATGGTGAGGACTTTTAGGAACTTAATGAGACTTGAGGCTGTTTGATTTCTGCTTTACCCGGTCAGACCTGGACGTTGGCTGTCACAATCACACAACTAACCTTGATTAAAAAAAAATCTTCTTGATGAATCTGCAGTAATTACTTGGCAGTTTGTATGATTTATGTTATGAACTTTTATGGTGTATATTTGTAATTCTCCTGTTCTCCTGTCTGGGTGATCTCAATTCATTAAAGAATTTTAGAATCATTGAAGGCCTATGTAGAGTTTATTTATGTTTGGTCCATAAGTCCATTTTTATCATTTCTCATGTTTAGAATCTCTGATGACACAACTAATTGTCTAAATTCTTGGTAGATTAATCCATTACTAACAGAATTGATAGTTACAGCCTTAAATTGGACTAGAAATTACTTGAACATCAGTAACAATGACTCATCTACTTACCTCTGTTGTCCTCTTTGTGCAGGTGTTTGCGAGTGAATCCAAAAGGGCTGGATGAGGAGAGTAAAGATTACTTGTCTCTCTATCTGCTCCTGGTCAGCTGTCCCAAGAGTGAAGTGCGTGCCAAGTTCAAGTTCTCCATCCTTAATGCCAAGGGGGAGGAGACCAAAGCCATGGGTGAGCGTACACACTGAACATGACACATTCAGCGCAGAGCTCAGATCAGAAGTTCATTAGCAGTACATTCGGCTCTGGACGGTCTAGTCTCTCTACCAGATTTCTTATTACCCTGACTTATTTATCTCCACATTGTAGAAGGGTAAATATTTTAGAGGTCCACCTGATAATCATCAGAATCTTTTTTCTGACAGGAGCAAGATGTACAAGGAATTTTTGTGCAGGTGTCAACCTGAATTCCAATACAAATATAGAAAAAAAGATAACTACAGTTTGGTACACTAAATTAATTAGGCTAAAATGGCTTGTAGAGGTGGGAAAAAACTGCTGGGTGGGTCATGAAAACAGAATGCAGACAAAATAGAGCCCTTTTAGACCTCAAATTAAGCTATATCCTCCTTCTGTGGTTTTATGTGGTTAAATTAATTTGCTGTAACACTATTGTGCATTTTGTGCCATTACACTAGTGCTCAACAAACACAGTCCATATGGATAAATAGCTGATCAATCAGATAGAACTTGAAAGTTAACTGCTTGGACATTTGGTCAGTATTTTAAGCACTGGTCCAAATATACAGACAGCTTTGTAGAAATATAGATCAGCCCTCTGTGTGTGTGTGTGTGTGTGTGTGTGGCTGAGAGATAAAAATTAAATTCATGATGTTAATGAAATAGCAAAGACCATTTGAATACTCTCCCCCTCATAATGTTTGATTTAAGTATAGGAAGTGTGGTATGAATTTAGAGTTTTAATTGGTGCTGGAGCTCCTTAGACGGAGGTCTTGAGGCCGTCTCGTTTGATGAGTTAGAGGGAGTATGTGTTTAATTGGGTTATATCGAGTCCAAACTGCAGCAGAACTGAGTTAGATCTAAGAGCTTTATGCTTTCAATGTTCTGTTCCTGACTTTTCTTAGGATAAGTATTTAGTGTTTTTGTGTGAGTAAAAGAGTGTCTGTGTGTATGTATGAGAAAATTAGAGCCTGGCCGATTTATTGGTTGTCTGGTAAAAATGTTTCCACTTGTTTACGCTTTGTGTCAGCTTGTGTTTTTGATGAGTGGATCACGCTTGGATTTCAGGTGACTGCATGAAAAGTGTAAACACCCCGAAACACATAGGTGGATTACGATTGAATTGCTCAAACCTCATTCGGTGGTCAGAGACCACATTTAACACAAGTGTAAACAGAATGCATTTTTGTTATCTGTATATAGTAGTCCTGACTAGCAGGTCAGTGAATAGAGCTTGGAAATCTAATAATAGGTTGAAATGAGTTCCACAGTTTAAAAAAAGCTTCAAATTCAAATTTGATTTTACATCCCTAAAAAAAGGTTTCTAAATAGTGAATTGGTGAAAAATAAGGTAAGAGGCAGTTAACAGCAGTCAACAAAACTACTAAGCATTCTGAGCTGCTAATACTTATATTACTTATTAGTTATTATTTTGTACTTTTTACATTGAGTTTCTGCTGTCTGAGTCCAAGAAATTGGCAGTTAACAGTAGACAGTGGTATTGGTCATTAAAGCACTATCAAACTGTTAGAGTCTATTATTATTGTTGGATATTGGAACATTTCGCTTCTTAACATCAGTATCAGTCATAAAACGTTTATATTTGTCGGGCTCTAGAGAGCATCAGTCTGTGTTTGTGTAATAGTAGAAGTATGTGAGTGTGATTTGCACAGTAATTCCTGTGCTGGTGGTCCCTGGAGTGCCTGCCGTGTGCGGAAAGACAGAGCAGCGAGGGAGGAACAGTTATTCCTCTGAACACCGCTGGGTAGACTCTTTTCCTTTCTCCCCATCTCTCTGACATCTCACCCCCCCACTCTATCTGCCTCTTATTCCTCCTGCACTCTTTGTTCTTCTCTGCTTATTTTCTGAGGCTTCTCTACTTCTTTCCCTCTACATTTATTGCCTTGCCATCATTACATCATTATTGTATATACCTCTGTATGCTTGTCAAGGGAATTTCATGTGTTCAGTTTAAAAGCTAAAATGGTAATAAGGCAATGGAAGGAAGCTAAGAGGTGCTAGGCTAAGCGCACATCCTTCAAAGTGACTAAAAGTGAGCCAAAACGAGGCAAAATGTTGCCCCACTGTATAAAACGCTCAAATAAATAAATGAAAGAAAATTTAGGTTTTTTTAACGTTTTATGGCTTTGCATGATGATGAAATGCTTAGAGCTGCCACTAAAGACTGTTTTTTATCAATTAATCTATCAACTGTTTTACTGATTAGTTGATTAATCCAAATGATTGATTTTCCTCCAAAAAATCTAAATGGCCACTTCATTCAAGTTCCTTTTATTTTGACAAAACAAACTATGTCATTGCATAATGCAGCATGAAACAAAATGTAAACAGAGGTTTACATATAAAAGTTTAATTTAAACTGTAGTTCTTAAAAGGCAACTTCAGGATGATAGGAATCAACAAAAAGAGGGCTTGTTATTTACAACAGTAGTGCAAATTTCTTTGTATTTAAGGCATTCCCTACACAAAGAAATGTGCTTAAAATAATGGCAGAAATAAAATAATTAGATAAGGTGCGCATCCCATCAAGCCCAATGTGCACGGACACACCTACTGGCTCTGACAGGCAATGTAGAATAGAAGCCCAGATTCCAGCCTAAACATTTTCTCAGACACTTATTCAGTGGACATTCTAAGGTAGCAGGCAAATGACTGGCTTTATTAATGAGTTTATTTACCAGCTACAACAGATTTTAAAAAGCTCTCCCTACTAATAGTAACATGAATAGGCAACACTTACGTGGTACCTTATCATCCAAAATAGCACCTGTGTGTTTTCTCTTCAGGTGCTCCTCCATCACTCTAGTCCTGCTGTGCTTTGCCATCAAAATGTTGCACAGTTTACAGACCACTTTTTTGTTCTGTGCTAATATGAAGTACATCTATACTTTTCACGCCTTGGGTCTTTGGAAACTTTTAGAAGCCTCTTTCGCAGCAGAATCAAACTCTGCTGCAGCTGCCAACTGGAGCATTGAATGAAGCCGACTGGTGACTGGAGCCAAAAACGACTGATAACATGCGAGCAGCAATTATGTGGTGGTATTGAGGAAAAACATTTGTAATTTTGAATTAAAGCTCTTTAGAACTCAAAAAGCCAAATTCATAAAAATAATTTAAAAACTGATGTGTCGGTTTAAAATATTGATGTTGATGCATTTTCAGTGTTGACATCATCGGTTACGTCAACTAATCACAGCAGCCCTAGAAATATTTTCAATAATAATATCTCATCAAAAGGAATGCTGCCACTTTTCCAATCTTACTGAGAGAGATGTCCAGAATAGGTTACAGTCTCTGTAAAGCAGAGAAACATGATCTCTTGCATTATAGTAATAATAAACAATTTCTTTAGCAGGAGGTTCAGGGGAAGTCTGTGAAGCCCAAGGTACACAAATTACAATATAGATGCCATTAAAGATGAAAACATGACATACACGTCTTTATCAGTACACCACGACCTACGGCAGAAAATGACATCATTGCATTATTTATTATTTTTTGCGTATTTACGTTTTATCGCTTGCAGGTTGTGCAGAAAGTGCACGGAAACATGACTACTGTCTAAATACCAGATGTTTATTTGATTATACGCATGAAGAAATTCTAATTTTACAGCTTAATTAACGTTTTTTTTTCTTCAAATGCAGACAGAGTACAATGTCAGTGTTGTGCTAGCTTATTTTTTTGATACATTTAGACAAATTATTATTACTATTATTTTTTAAATAAATAATTAAACAGTTTTGAAGTTGCCAAATTGCAATATGGAAAGAACACTGAAACTTTGAATATTTTAGCTCTAGTTTACAGGTTCTCTGTAATTGTTATAAATTGTTGTATGATCCATTTGTTGTTGTTAAGTGCTCTAGAAGTACTGACCGTACCCATGATTGTCATATTACCCATTCCTTGTTTAATCTTTAGACTGTAACGCTGAACTCATTGTTGATTTCAAGGTAGCATTATCCGATATGAATTTTGTTGCTCTTATCCAGAGTGATCATGTTCCAGAGGTAGACGAAGGCAGAGTTAGAACACTTACTGGTCTGGTCTGATATGCTTACCCATGTGGGAAATCAAGCCTTAGTCTGCTGTGCCCCAAGACTCAAAACTTTGGCAAGAATAATGTTTTAAAACCACAGAGATTTCAGCATTATTTAAGATCAAATCTAAACATATAACAATTCTGTATATGATATGCCAGGTTTGATTGGCAACGTAATGTGGTTCAGCTTACTTTAGTGACGCACAGGCTCAGTTCTAACAAAGCTCTAGTTTGTCTGTTCAGTAAACTTTCACTAATGACAGTGAGCCATGGAGCTATTGTATGTGCGCAAGTTATTAGAGTACAGGGGGGGAGAGTATGTGCCTGCCCAAAACTCTCTTCAAAGCGATGGGAAGCGGAGGTGTGAGTCTTAGTCACGGATTCATCTTTCTGAAGCATCCTGGGTAGAAGTGAGGGAGGGGGGAGGAGAGAAAAGGCTGAAAGAACGAGAGGGAGATGAGAGGCTGAACAAGCTCGTATTTCATTTTCCAAATTTTCTCATTTTCTGCACCTTAATGGGCGAGACTCACTTGCCGGTCGTGTTGGCCGCCCCCTCCTCCTCCTCCTCCTGTTCCTCTATCTATCCGTTCAGTCGCATCCTCCATTCCCTCACTCTCGCAGGCCCTTCCCCGGGGAGGTGCAGGGACCTGCTGAAGCCCCTCGCTGCAGAAAATGAAGCCCCTGACAGCGCTGTTGTGAGACGGGAGGAGTTTTTTAAAAAGGAGGACGGCGAGAGTGCGAGAGATGGAGGGGAAAAAAATGGCAGTAGAAATCGGTTCTGGATCATTTAGAATCCAATTTAATCCTGGCCTCCTCCTGAAGGGGTGGAGGTGGGAGGAAAAAGAGAGAGAGTCAGAGAGAAAGAGAGGGAGTGTGAGGGGTGAGAAACAGAGAGAGAGAGAGAAATAAAAACAAAGTAAAGTGC